TGATTTTCAGTTTTGTGTATTGAAATTCTGGGAAAGAAGGAAATGTTTTTAAAGCACATCAGAAGGCTAAAAGCAAGACAAGGGACTTTTGTTGGTATTGCTTTAGATATGAGAATGTAGCCTTTTTGATAAAAAAAACAAACAACAACAATGTCATAGAGTTTCTTAGGTTTCCTAAGACCAATTTCTTTTTTCCTTTTTTTGCCATCGAATCAAACGATTAACATGTTATCCCTACATAGCGCAGAAGCACAGAAATGCAATGCGACGCAATGGACGCCTTTCTAGTCAACGCCATAACTGCGATGGATGTAAAGGGACATTCACACGAGTTGACAAATTGTACCTTTTTTGTCTTGTTGTGTTGCGACAACCAATCAGGAAGTAGATGCGGCTGCGTAGAGGGTTAAGGTTGTGCAGCAGAGACAAACTTTATTTTAGTCCAACTGAAGACAGATAAAATAATGTTGACATAGGATGAAGTATGGAATGCTTTGAAAGGGTTTGTAAGTGGCTTCTAAAAAAGCCTTTTAAATTTAGCTCTTAAAAGGGCTCCAGTCATGAGAGAATTTTTTAGATTAGGCCAAATTGTAGCCTCATCGCATGTCGTGCATCATGTAGTTTACAGGGGGAAACGATGGGCGTTCAGCCTCTCATGACCACCTCCCTATCAGGATAAAAGTTCGGGAGAAAATCAAACATTTTTGAAATTCAGTCAGCCGTCGTAAGATCGCATCAGAGCGTCGGGCCGCACAGTGTGAGAACATGCATCGTGAGCCGTCAACTTTTAAACCCTGCAGTTTTGTTGCATAGTTTGCATTGTAGCTACATGCAATGATTAAAAATATCCCACAGTGTATGTCCTGCTTTAGCTCCAGAGCTAGCCCCGGCAGCCACTGCCTCTCCTCTGCTGTGGCACTCTCTCTACCCAATATATCGATGTCCTCCTTTTAACTCCCGCTGTTAGGTTCCTTTGTTCCAGGGTGGGGCACGGCCGGCCTCCTCTGCCTTGTCCTATGGCACTTTTGTTTTCTATTGTGGTGGTTGACCTAGTCTACAGCTTTTACTGTCTAAGCTCCAGAGCGGCTCATTGTAGAAGCTCCTGGAGGAGGTAATGGTGCTCTACAAACTAGTTCTGTCTCGGTAGAATCTAGTGAATCCACAAATGTAGACACAGGTGGTTTATTTGGCTTTCCAAAGTTAATTTGGGTTCCCCATGTTTGGTGGAACCAGCAAGTAGCAGATTTAATGAGGCAATGGAGCTGGACGCTGCACCCAAAAGAGACAAATATGTTGCATGAATCATGTTTTGCTTTAAGGCTACGTTCAAACTGTAGGTGTAATGTGCAATTGCAATTCTTTTTCTGTAATCTCAGCTTTTTGTTTTGGTCTTTTTATGCTACTGACTGATCAGACAAATGTGGAAAACATTCAGGACATCCCTTAAAGAGCATGTAGACATCATGCAGCATACAGCAGTGCACTGTTTACAGAAGTAATGATGGATGTCAGAAAATTTGTTTAAAAAGCTTTTGAGCAATCAGACCTGACAGTATCATGGCTCCATCATTAACAAAGATGTAAGGTAAGAAAAAAAGGCATAACTTCTAACACTATCTGTGATACTCCTACTGTAGAGAAGTCTCTGTGGATGTGTAGTGACCGCCCCAGCAATGACGTTGGATAAAACACGGACTGCAGACACTTTGTGTATCTGATTTAGTACTGTAAAGGTACTCTGTGTTTACACATTAAAGCTGTCTCTCCCTGATTCGTTCCTGAGAAGAGATCACTTGGGAAAAACTCTTTAAATAGCATTTCTTAATCTGTATGTATTAAATACCCATTAGACATTACAGCAGATTTTAATGAATTGTAATCCTATTCAGAGTGCAGAATTTGCTTAGGGTTAAGAAGTCAGCTCTTTCTAACCGGGCTTGCTTCTCATTGAAGAATCAACGTTAAGTCTACATCATCATCACGTTTGTAAATGAGGAGACGTCCATGGCTCCAGCCTTATCAAAATATTACACTATGTCCTTAAATCAAGAACTCTGCTCTCATTACATTACCAAATCTTTGCAACGTACATAATGAAGATGACCTTTATCCTGACACAAGCTCTGTATTAATTAGATAAACTGCTTGGGAAAACATCAGTTTTGACACAATACAGGCAGGTATTATTAGGGTTTAACAGACTCACACATCATCAATAAAAATATGTTTTTTGGGGGGTAAAATCAGAATCAAGTTTATTGCCAAGTAGGTTTGCACTTACAAGGAATTTGACTTGGTGTTGTTGGTGCAGACAAAAAAACAAAACAAAATTAAAAAAGCATCAGAATTTGGATTTTCAGACTGCTGCAAAAAATTTGGAAATTAGTTATTTTATCTTCTGTCTGAATTTAGTTCATAGATCCTGCTATAGATCCTTCTGTTCTTTTTCCACTCTACATATACTCTATACATGGATGTCTAATAATGCTGTCCTCATGTCTTAACCATTAATCTGGAAATGTAATGCATGCTTGTTGAAATCTTCATGTTTACCAAGCAATCATGTTTATCAGCAATCAGCTATCAGTAGCTCTGGTGGCGGGTAAAGTCTCACACATGTCTAAATAGCAAGTTGAAGTTGGAATAGTGAACTTTGGTTTTCTATCCATTTTAAAGATGCAGTGGAGGATTTTCACAATTTTTTTTAAAACATCTGCCTTCTCCACTTAAAAAAAACCCACATGCACAACCCTGTACCTGCTTCCGAGAAAGATCGCCTATTAAAAGTGTGCGAGAGCATGCACAAGCCCATTTCCTGTGCATGCATTCTTGTGCTGTTCTCATAGCTCATACAAGCTTACTGTGTCTCAACTCCGCCCCAACCCCTAAATCACTATATAGTGTGGGGACTATATAGTGGACTTTATGGTGAACTCAGTTAACTGACCGTTCGGACAGATGATCACGGCTTTTTGCTCCTCGTTGGTCACGTAACTCCTCCTACACCGCGCAATGCCTGCGCCATCTTTGTTATTAGTCACCGCTGTCAGATAGCAACAGCCTATGGCGACAAAAAAATTAGGAGGACCACTTATTTAGATGATCCACGATTAAAAAGAAAATCCTCCTCTATACCTTTAAGGTTTGAAATGTAATAGGTTGGCCAACAGTGGCTTTAATTAAAATGTATTTACTCTACGAGACCATGAGCAGACCTCATCCCCAGAGTTTAAAAAAAAAGATGTTAACGGAGTAATGTTCTTATACAAGGAGATCAAAGAGTCTTCAAAACAAGTTAACCTTTCTAAATCATACATTTTTACTTGACACACAGAGATATTTTTGTATAGTGGTTGAACATGTTCCCTAAATGTTAACAATTTTCTATGTGCAAGTTATTCTAAGTCGCCGCCTTACATAAAATTCATAACAGGTAGAAGTATATAAAAAATAAACAAAAGAGAGTGACATATGCAAATAAAAACAGACAGACGTAAAAAAAAAAGTGTCATTCTAATTTTTCTAATGACCACTCTTGGCCTATCATCCAGAACGGCAGCAATTAGAAGCTCCTCGCAAGAGGTGTCAAAAAGCTGTTTGTGAGAGATTCAGTTTTTTTATGTAAATAGCAATAAATAATACACTCAGGCTTCATGACAGCACAGCTCTTCTATGCTTACAAAATAAGAAAATAGAAAAAGCTGGAAGGCTCTGCAACCTTTAACATAACGGGAGGTTGTATTGCAAAGAAGAGCACATAACCTCCAAGACTTAAAGGAAGTTGATGTGGTTTCTGGTCTCCATTAGGAGGTGTGGGTTCAACTCCCACTCCTCACAGTGATGGGGATTTGGAAAAATGCTACAAGGAACTTTGGATCAATGCTGTAGACTTTGTTCAGGAGATATCCTCAAGTTTATTATTACCCAATACCCTTTCTTCCAAGTGTTTAGTAATTTTAAGAAAGCATTTTCAGTACTTATTCCCTGTTCACTCCTACCTTATTACTCATAATTTAGGCGCTTCCTTGTTTTGATTGCTTTGTATGTCTGCATTGATCAGCTGTTAGACATCTGGTGTGATTTTTCCTTTTAGAGCCTCATGAGAAATGTAGATATGGAGAAAGGAAATGTTGGGTTCAATACCTGTTTTCCCTGGTGTATGGCTGATCTTTTGATATTCACTTGGCTGTGGCTGTGCCTCTGCTTTTATCATAATGGTATGCTATGCTGCACATGTTACAAGCACCAAAAGAAGCTCTGATATGAATTGGCTACTCAGCGCTGCATCTCTTCTCTGATTGTATTCCTGATGAAAATCTCTGCGTGATAGCAATTCCCAGCCAAGAGAATGCGTCATGTATGCAAATTACTTGAGTTGTAGATTTGTAATGCGGCCAAAAAACATCATGCAGGTATAATTTTACATCCATGTTTTTCTGATTTTTGTTCCATCATTGAGATGTTTGCTAAAATCAAGTAAAATATTTACATAATTCCATAAACCCTTTATAGGGCACTCATTAAAATACTTTGAAAATCAAAATTTCAAGCCAGTAGTGTTATTGGAATCAGGACAAGACCTTATTACCTTTGTAACATTAAAATAAGGGGTATTTTGATGGCAAAAACTAATATTAATGTAATAATAAGAAAGGCCAACTTGCCTGAATATATAAAGAAAAATAACAAAAGTGCTTCTATAAGAAATTGGTGAAAAACACTCTTAGACAGAAGGAAACACATTTTTTAGTATAACATTTTCAGCTGTTTTATGTTAAAAAAGGGAGTTTAATTTTCTTTAATAGATGCATGCCGTGTAAGGAAAGAAAAAAGTTTAGTTTTCTTGTAAAAGCGGAACTGGATTTTTCACTAACAAAGCTAAAGAAAAAAATTATCTAACTTTGTTTTTGTCCTTTGCCCACTTCCTCTCCATCCATTGTTCTCTGATTTTCATAATATTTTTTTTTTTTTCCTATTTTTACTCTTTTCTCTCCTAACAGTGGCAGGAAAGCCCTTTTTTGTTGTGTCCAGCTTCTCCCACCGCTGGTTGTTCGGCTGGGAGGGCTGTCAGTTCTACGGCTGGGCGGGCTTCTTCTTCGGCTGTGGGAGTCTCATCACCATGACTGTAGTGAGCCTGGACCGCTACCTGAAGATCTGCCATCTCCGATATGGTGTGTATATAACTGTTATAACTGTTTTTGGGGTGAAAAGAATCGTTCATTGCATTTCCAGTGTGGTTAGAACTTCAGGAGAAACTAATAGCATAAATTTTATCCTGATTAATCAGGATAAACAATTAAGGGGCATTTAATTTTACTGTAAATATCAGCTATATTTAGCATATGAAAAAAATCAATAAACAAACAGAGACTTCTATGCAATAGTTATGCCATCCTGGCACAGTTAAATGCTGAACTTTATCACCATCATGTACTAGAGCAGAGGTCACGGATTAGCGGACCGCGGCCCGGACCCACATGCTGGCTAATCCAGACCCAACCTGATTTAAAACACTTATATATTACAGCATGTTGTCCGACAGTAGTGTCTAATTTCACTTGCGCCGCTTCTCCTGTTAATATGGTGAAGCCATCCAGAGCGACCAGGACCAGGCTGCACGTGATACAAATGATCCAATGAGCTGCTGTCAGTCTGGGTTGCTGCTGCTGCTACTTTTAGAC